CTAGATTATGTGATATTTATCTTTCTCCGACTGGCTTATTTTGCTTAGCATAATGCTCTCCAGTTCCATCCATGCTGTTGCAAATGGTAAGAATCCCTTCTTTTTTATAGCAGCATAGTATTCCATTGTGTAAATGTACCACAATTTTTTAATGCACTCGTCTGCTGATGGGCACTTAGGCTGTTTCTAAATCTTAGTTATGGTGAATTGTGCTTCTGTGAACGTAGGGGTGCATATATCCTTTCTGATTGGTGTTTTTGGATTCTTGGGATATATTCCTAGAAGTGGGATCACTGGGTCAAATGGGAGTTCCATTTTTAGTTTTTTGAGGAAACTCCATACTGTTCTCCACAGCCTGTTGGGGAAAACTGCCCAGGCTATGAGAGAGGGCCAGGCAGGGTGATCCCCAGCTGCAGGCGGGGCTCAGACTCCCTCCCATCAACTCCTGGTGAATGGAAGTGGGTGTCTGGGCCCCATCCTGAGACAGTCAGGGGCTGGGCAGGCCAGTTGCCCAGAGCACCTGTAGGGGGCAGTGTGGCTTCATGCCACACAAGCCCAATTAAAAGTCAGCTCAAAAATACATACATACATACATGTCAGCTCATTCGTTGTTCCTGGCTGAAACTAGTACTTACTGAGCCCTCGCCATGGGGTCGGCACTCTGCAAGGTGCAAGGTGAACACGACAGGAAAGAGAAAATAAAGCAACCCTACGTGTGATAAGCTCTGTGAGGAATGGAGCAGTATCCGCAAGGAAGATGCAGGAGGCCAAGGGGAAGAGGAGGCCACCCAGGCTGGATTTGAGGACTGGGCGAGGGCCAGGACCCTGTGGTCGAGGGGCGGGGGGCGGGGAGATGGACAAGAACTCCTGATGGATTGGATAAGAGAAGTGAGAGAAACGGAAGAGCCCAGGGTGTCTCACACACAGGGAGGAAATAACCAGGATCCTGACACTTACGCGGGTGTAAATCCCTCTTGAGAAAAGTAAGGCTGCAGTAGATCAGGGTTTCTGGGCTCCTGGGCGCCAGCCCTCAAGGCAACCCCTACCTTCCAGTATGCAGACCCCGTGGCTGACCTGCTGGACCGCTGGGGCGTCTTCCGGGCCCGGCTCTTCAGGGAATCCTGTGTTTTCCATCGAGGGAACTACGTGAAAGACCTGAGTCGCCTGGGACGGGAGCTGAGCAAAGTGATCATCGTGGACAATTCTCCGGCCTCGTACATCTTCCACCCGGAGAACGCAGTAAGTGGCTCCCGGGAGGAAGAGCACAGGGCTCCATCTGAGTTCTGTCTTGTCTTCTTTTCTTTTTTTTCTTTTGATGTATTTTATTGATCGAGCCCGCAACCTGGCCATGTGCCCTGACCGGAATCGAACCGTGACCTCCTGATTCAGAGGTCGATGCTTAACCACCGCTGGCACGGCTGTACCTTCCAGCACCCATGCAAGTTCTCTTGGCCTTTTCCTTGGTGGAATCCCAGCTCTGCCAGTGAGCCCCTGCATGGCATTGACCCGGCTGTTTAACCTCCATGGGGATTATGGGAATGCTGATCTCATAGGATTATTGGAGGATTCATGCAAAGCACTTAACATGGTGCTTGCGGTGGGTACGTGCTCAGTGAGCCTGTATCTTAGTTACTGAGAAGGGCTCTGTCATGAACCTCCTGGAGCTGGCTGCTGCCCAGGACTTAGGGCCCCTGTAGACTCAGAAGGCCTGGGTGGCATCTTCAACAGAAGTAGTTCTTAAACAAGAGTGAATAAAACACCTGAGTAAGGTCTCCCAAGGCTGCCACGCTTACTGCCTCGCAATGATGTGTAAAACGTGTACAACGGGAGTATTTCCTACAGAAAACGCCCTGGAGCGTGGCAGCTCTCCCGTGGACTCACTGGGTGCAGCACGACTCTCAGAATAAGACCCCTCCCGCCCTGCATGTCCAGGGAAGAGAGGTCAGCCCGGCCTCTCGGACTCAGCAGAACTTGGCTGCTCCACTTATAAACCAGATTCAGTTAGGGTGTAATCATCCTTTTAATCAACCTTCAAAAGTCATTATATTTAAACATGTTCATTGTAATGAGCTAATCAAATTCAACATAATTCACTTTATGTCTCTAGCAGATAAGGATCACTTTTTAATGTGATCACGGTTCAGTTATCACATCTGACAAAACGAATAGTTACTCCCACCTAATGTCCAGACTACGTCCATTTATCGCGAAATGCTGTCTTAGGTTTGGTCTGAACCAGAATCCAAACAAGACGTTCGCTTCATAGGTCTCTTAATTCTTGCATAACCTCAACAACACATCTTCCCTCACCTTTCAATGTCTTCATGCCTTTTGTTTGTTGAAGAAATTCTGGTTACTTGTCTCGTAGAAATTTCCTACATTCTGGGTTTGCCCGATTGCAGCCTCATGGTGGTGTTTGATATGTTTTCGCAGCCGGTATCTTTTCTTTTCTTTCTTAATATATTTCTGATGATTTCAGAGAGGAAGGGAGAGGGAAAGGGAGAGATAGAAATATCCATGATGAGAGAGAATCGTTGATCGGCTGCCTCCTCCACACCCCACACTGGGGATGGAGCTGCAAGCAACCCAGGCATGTACCCTGACCAGGAATCGAACCGTGACCTCTTGGTTCTCAGGTCAACGCTTAACCACGGAGCCACGCCAGCCAGGCAGTATATGTCCTTTAACACAAAGTTAAATCACTACTTCTTAATTAAACTCAGGTTCTTCCCCCCGCCCCAAGAATATGTCATAGGCGGTATTGTGTGCCCTTGCGGTATCATCTCAGGAGACATAGAATCTCAGGTTGTCCCACTTTTAAAGATTTTAAATTGATCTTTGGGTCCAGTTGTTCATTTTAAAATCCCCCACCAACCTTTTGTCCTAAAAGTATAAGCAGCCGTTGCTCATTGCCTACACCCACTACTTCATTAGGAATTGCAAAATGGTGATTTCTACACTTTATCATTCTCTCTGCATTTGTTGGCTGGGATTCTAATTTTTTTTTAATTACACTTGCCCCTATTGACTGCTTCAGGACCCCCAAGTTCAGTTTGAATGTTTGGATAGGGGAGGCAGGCTAAAATCTCGGTTCTTTGCCTTTAAGTCTACTGTTTCAGAATAATGAGTTGGAGCTCTAGCAACTTCCAAAGGTGGTCAATGATATTTTGTTGTTGTTGGTACCATCATGAACTCGTGGATTTTTTCATTGTTACAGTTTAATCCATTTATCACTCTTTTGTATGCTTACATATTCATCTTTGGCTGGTAGACACCTCTTCAAGTAACAATAGTCTTTGATAGCTTCCTACTTTCTGGTACAACAGGATGTTCCGGACTCACCTTATCTGTTTCTGGCTTCAGCCTTGAAATCAGCCACTTTTCTCTGGAGCCTGGTTCCTGTTAGTGGAGAGGGTATTTGGAGACCACAATGTGGGAGGAGGGGGGAGCGGGAGAGGGCGGGGGTGCTCATTGTTACTGGAATGTCCTTTGCTTCCAGCTCTTTCTACTGGACAGAGCTAAAATATACTTATTTTTGAAGTGCAAAGTAAATCATAAATTTCACCTGGGTTTTTCCCAGTGTTTTTACTTCATTTCTTTTTTTTCCTTTTTTTTTTTTGTATTTGTCTCCTCTTGGCTAAAACTCTTAATTTCTAAAGATACTAACATCATTAATATTGTATTTATTTTATAGTATATCCCTAATAATTTCAAAAGAGCAGTACTAATGTCATTGCTAATAATAAGACAACTGGATCCATCTAGGGTTTGGGGGAGAAATGTACAGACAACACTATCTTTTGAAATTGCTGGAAATAATTCTCTGTGTGATTATGTCACCAACATTATACATACTTAGCTCTGAGGTGCAAGGAGTCGGCTTGATGGAAAGAGTAGCAAGTAGCAAGGCTAGTTCTCCCATATTCTGCGCTCCGGCCGCCCTTTCTGCGGCAGGAAAACAAAACAGGCCACAGTGTGCGAGCTGGGTCCCCGAGACCCGCCTTCCCGAGCCAGTGCCCCCAACCAGGTACGATGATGGTGGTGGTGCAGGCGAGACACCGAGCCTCCTTACCAAAGAGCATGTTCGTAAGAAAACGGGCACCCGGTCAGGCTGGGAGCCGCCAGCCCCGGTGCAGGCCTGCTGCCCCCTGCGCCCTGTCTTCCAGGTGCCTGTGCAGTCCTGGTTCGATGACATGACGGACACGGAGCTGCTGGACCTCATCCCGTTCTTCGAGGGCCTGAGCCGCGAGGACGACGTGTACAGCATGCTGCACAGGCTCTGCAATAGGTAGCCCCGGCCGCCGCCCGCCTCCCCTGTGCACTCGGACCCCAGCCCTGGGGACCTGCCCGGCCTCCACTCCCCGGGAGCCGAAGTGAGGACACGCCGTGCTCCGGGCCACGGGGTGAACGTGGCCACACCTACCTGTTTTATTTTTAAAAAACAGAAACAACTATTTTAAAATGAACTCTTTTAACGAATTTCCTAAAGGGACATGCATTTTACTGGATTTGCTTTTCTTAAAACATACCAAAAAGGGAAAAAAGGAGGAAAAAAGAAAAAAAAAAAGCTTGATATCTCTCAGACTTCCTTTCAACTGTCTTCCCTTCCCCGCAGACAACCTGCCTCCTTCTACCCCAGCTCGGAGCAGCTGACCAACTCAGAATCTCCTTCCTCGAGGATGAAGTGCCTTTTTGAATGTTATTTTAAGCTGAGAGTTAATTTTTCTATACAGCATATTTCCAGACATCTTTTAGTCTTTTATTATCTCAGATTCTCGAACAAGATAAAGAGGACAATTTTCTAGAACCTGGGGGGGGAGCGGGTGACGAGGTATGGGAGTGAGTCCGGGAGGCTGCCTCCCAGCCGGTGGCAGGGCCAGGCTCCTGGTGGGAGTTCGTGTGACGTGTCAGCGTCTCCGTTCACGGCTGCCCCCGTTTGGGATGGGTCTGCAATCATGTGGCCCCACACTGTGGGGCGCAGTGGATTCTTTTATATGATGATGATTTTGGATGGTGACAGATGGGTCTTGGGGGGTCACATTTTTCCCTTGAAAAGGGGGCATCGTGCCACTCCTGCTTTCACACGACTGCCATACTTCCGTGTGCTTTGTGTTTGGTGTTTTGTGTTGTTGTTTGGGGTAGAGCAGTTCCCCCCAAAAAATCTCAAATCCTTGCATCTAAGAAAGAAAGAAATCCATTTATTGATTTTTAAATCTTTCCTTTCCAAAAGCTGGACACACTTGGAGCTGTTGGGGAATGTTCTTTGCTGCTACCGCGCTGCCACCAAATGGAATTGACCAGCGGCTGTTGCACTGTTCTTTGCCACTGTGCCTATGCCCAGACTCCGCTCACTGCTGCCACAGGGTCAGGAGCAGGTGTCCGTCCCCCGCCCCCAGGCAGGCTGCACCCCCTGCACCTCTCCCCCGGCACCGGCCATGGGAACTCAGAAGGGTACAGAGGGGGGCAGCATGCCACCCCAGGGCGGTGCTCATTCATTTATAACTGCAGTCCGCATCCGGCCCTGTGATAGGCTGCCTGTTCTCTCTTGAGAACCCGTGGCCTCGGCCACCCAGCACGCTGATGTGGTCCAAGGCCATCTCTTGGTCTTCTCTCCCGAAGCACAGCCTATCTCTGAGCCGGGGGTTGGGGAAGCCTGTCTAGATGTGGGGCTCACTGTCCTGAGTCGCGGAGAGGGGGGGCCCCCTCCTCGCACCGGGGCTCCCTTCGCAGCCTTTCCCAGTGAGATGTTTCAAGCAGTGCCATGTTCCTTGTTCGACAACAAGTCTATAAAGCATGGCTCTGATGCATCATTTACAAAGAACCCTCGCGTGTCGGCACCGGTGCCTTAGTCCTCTCTGTGGGTTGGGCCTCCGCCAGGGTTCTGGTGGGGCGACGACCGGCACCAATAAGACTGGAAACGGGGTGTCAGAGTAAAATTTCTTTTTTGCTGCCATTCACAAAATAAGAAAGCCAGCTGCCAATCGCGTCCTCCCGACGGCACTTTGGTCTGTGGCCTGCCCGGCTTTCAGAAGTAAGTATTGGGGGGTAACCAGGCCTCCCAACATCCCGAGTGTTCCAAAGCCAGGAATCCACATGCCAGTTAAAAGAGAAACAACTCCTTGCTAGGCGTGACCACAGATGATGACGGACGTGGCAGAGCCGCCGTGCCATACACCTTGATTTGGAAAACTCGTCGTTGAATGAACCCGCTGCCTTAAATGTCTTAAATGTTTCAGTCCAGCATCTGTCCTGTGTTGAAATCCCCACAGAACTCGGTCCTGATGAGAGTCTCAGGCCCTCCCCTGCGCCCTTCCTTTGTTGGGCATCACAAGGTTCTTGTTTGGGAGGGCAGAAAGGACAAACTCTAGAATAGTTCAGGGGAATAGAACCTAGAAATAGTGCCAGATGGAGTGAAGACACTTTACCCAGTGGTTCCTGAAATCGTACATGCCGTGTGCTGACCCAGGGCGGAGCTGCCGAGGGTGGAGCCGGCTCCTGCCACGCGGACACAGAACGTCTCGGGAGGCCCAGTCCAACCTCTGCGGGTTCTGGATTCTGTGCACCTTATTGGACCACACTCCAGAATTCCATTTTTATTTTTAATCCTTGATTCTGCTTTATGTACATAATCAAAATAAATATCTATATCTATATATATTTTTAATCATCTACCTATAAATGAAGCAATAGATTTCTAACATAAGGCCAAGAAATGAGATGAATGTTTGGGGTTTATGTTTTCTAAGGTAAATACGGGTATTGTTTTTAATTATTACCTTTTATTAAATTGTGGGCTTTAAAAACCAAATTGAAACCGATTAGCTATTTCTCAGTGCCATATCCTTCCCATGGTACCAAAAGATCCCTAACTCTTTAGCCAAAAGAGAAATCAGATCTCCTGAGTTCCCATGATTCCTCTGTACCAGGTCAACATATAGTCTTCTGGACAAGGTTTTTCACACGAGGATCTGGGCCTGCACACCTTCAGCGGAGAAGTTTGGCCCCTACGTTGCCATGTCTCTGGCGGGGCCTTGAGTGGAGGTGCCCAGGCATGTCTGAGGTTGTTACTGCTCTGTCTTCCATTGCTCTGCGATCCTACGTGTTGGTCTGTGGTTTCTCCCATTCGCTGTTCGTCAACAGTGCGTTTGAAAACTGGGAAAGAACACCACCCATCATGGCTGATGGTCACTGGGGAAGCTCCTTTGACGTGGTGCCATTTCGATGAGATGACTTTGGAGATGACGGGGACGCCCTCATGACACTGGCTGGTCACGGTTGCAGCATTCGAACTTTGGGAATAATAAAAAAAAAAAAAAGAAACCTGTACGTCTATAACCTGGCAACGTCTGACAGCAGCCCCGCGTTGTAAAGATGGCTGATAAAATCCAGAACCACACAGCCCTCTGGTCAAACACTCGTGATGTCTGTGCCTCTGCATTCCACGGTGCTGTTGTGATGGACAGCGGCACGCCAGGGCGGGAGGCGCGGACAGCTCGAAGCGCTCGCAGTTAGCGACCTGGGCAAGACCCGCTGGCTGCCTCTGTCTATTGTACTGTAACTTGATGGTGTCTGTTCCTACTCCATTCTCCAGGGAGCTTCTCTCAGACTAACACCCTCCCCCCAGTTGGGGGAGAGGCCGGTGTCGGGGTAGCCCTGGGTTTCTGTTGGGCATTTGAATGTGATGAGCAGTCCAGCATTCCTCGGGGAACACGACATGTGGAATGTGCACGTTTCAGGGGTGAGCCTTGTTGGTCAAGGGATTTGCAATGATTTCCTGCCTGCCTGCCAAAAATAAACACAAAACTGCGCCCTCTTGTGGATGGTCTGCTTCTCTACCGGTAGCGCCTCTCGTCGTAGCTCAATTCTTGATTCTCTACCCTCTGCCCAGCCAGTGCCAGCACCTTGGGTCCCCCGGAGTATGGGAGCAATTCTGCGCAACCTCAGGAGTCCCAGGCCCCGGGAGGGGGGGGGGGGACTAGAAACCCATTCTGCCCAATAGCAGGCCCCCTGTTTGTCAGAAGCAGTCTGGCTCACCATCCTCTCTCAAGGATTCCAGCCCTTTCCAAAAGCAGCCCCCACCCCGCCCCCTGAGAGCCACCGGCGCTGTGTGTGCCTAAACCCACAGCCCTGGGGTACCCTGGCTGAGATGCTGTGATTCCCATGTTCTTCGGCCTCTGTTCTGTCTGTCGCAGGGATACAGAGTTCTACCAGGCAAGTTACTCACCCCAAACAGCACAGGACTGTGCGTGTGTCAGCCCAGGGAACATAACAGTTACCCGGAGACAAAGACAAAATCCCCCCACAGCTAGCCTGTGCTGGGCTCTGGCTGTGTCCCTGCCCCTCTTCACTCCTTCGCTATGCTCCCTGGCCCTCTCCTTGCCTTCTCTCCCCCTCTCTGGCATTGCCCCCACCCCAACGGCTTCACGCCTTTGCGTGCAAGCAGACAGACAAATGGTTGAGAACTGTGGCTGCCGGTGAAGCTACTTGGGACTTGGGCGTACTGAGAGTCCGCCTCCTGATTTGTTTGTTTGCGCACTTATCACCAGTGTATATTGCAGGCCCAAGGAATGGGCTGGGGCCAGGGCGTTGTAACAGGCAGTAGAATGGAGGATCCGAGTCAGGTGTCCCCTGCCCCACACCCCGCCCGCACTGCAGGCTGCACGAGGGTCAAGATCTGCAGGATCTGCACCTGCCGGGACTTCAGAGAACCCTGGGCCTGGAGGGCGGGGCCTGGAAGCCAGCCCGTGGGTCACCAGGCAAGTCGGGGCTCAAAGCCACCCAACTAGCGTGGCCGCAAGCCTAATCCCTGAGGCTAGCTTGCAGACCCTCGAAGGAAGCTGTGGGACCCAGAGTTTTCGACCCCAAACTTCCATTAGTGGTTCTCAGCTCTGGCTGCCCATTAGAACCACCTGAGGGCTCTCAAAATCCCAGGTCCCTCAAGTAACCTCTGGGCCTGGGCCTC